AATAATGCAATAAGTCATTGGAAATAACCATGCATATTGTAAACCCAAATAAAAAATTGGTGGTCACACAGAAGGTTGACTGGGTTAAGCCTGCAGAAGAGAAATTCAAAGATCGCTTTAAGTTAACTGATCTTCATCTCTCCAATGTACTCAGAGGCACTTTGTTATTAAAGTGTCAAACTGTCTTTGAAGATTCTTCAGTAACTTGCTATTCCATGGCTGCTTCATTCATTAAATAGTTTCTAAAGCATTCCTAAACTCTTTCCCTCAGCTGAGTTTTCAATGAATCAAACTGGGAACAGCTCAAAGTCTTTTGATTCACTTAAGAGAGTATATGTAACCTTTAGAAACAATTCAGTGTTCCTTCACAGTGTGATCAAGTTACAAAAATTCTCTAACTTGAAAGATCATGATCTAAATAAGCACAGTACAGAACATCAACAGTCTAGATTTGTTTTATTGTCTTTTTCACTTACCAATTTTTGCAGACAGGTAGAAATAATTTATCTATTCTACTTATTAAGAAATAAAAGGGGGCATACTCATATGAGTAGGTTAAAATGGATTGGATTGGAGAAAGGGTGGATATAATGTGTTTATATCTTTACTAAAAATAAATTATAAAATGATCTTTAATATTTTGTTAATACCAAAGACATATAAAGCAATATTAATTATGCACATGGTTTTAATAGAAATTATTTGATTGCTACATACAAATATTTAATTGACAGATACCAAGTTTCTACTATAAAAAACATTGTGCAGACATTGTGGAAACATGATAAGGATCATTGGAATAGTCATGCTTGCAGACTATGATTCATGCTCTAGACCTGTCTGCAAGATGAAGAATTTCCTTAAATACTGTATTTTGATGTATTAAAGGACGGATTAGACAACCTATACCAGCTCTATTCTATTAATTGTATAATTTAAGCGATGAGTGCAGAAATATTACTTATTTATTAATTGACCTCTGTATCACTTGATAGTTTAGAAAAGTTAATGTGACAATTTCAACCTTAGTAGTTGAATAGGATACTTTACATAGTAACATTCTTCATCTAGTCCAAGATAACCACTAATTTAATTAAGGTGCACAGAAATCACTCAATGCAAAGAAAAAGACTTTTAGAATGACATTCAAAGAAATAATACTTGGGGCTGGAAAGGTGGCTCAGTGGTAGAGCACTTGCCTTGCATGCATGAGGCCCTGGGTTTGATTCCTCAGCACCACATAAGCAAAAAGAAAAAAAGACAGAAGTGTCGCTGTGGCTCAAGTGGTAGAGCGCTAGCCTTGAGCTGAAGAGCTGAGGGACAGCACCCAGGCCCAGAGTTCAGGCTCCATGACCAGACCTCTCCCCCCCCAAAAGAAATAATACTTATCAATTAGGAAGAACATGGCAGTCCATAGAACTCCCCAGGAAGTGACTTCAAAAATGTTTGGAAACCATACCTCTGTGCAACCCAAATAAAAAGAACCTTTAATATGTCCAGGACAGACAACATTCCTGAGCATGTTAGTCTATATAGAAATTCCAGTACAGGAAGGTTATAACATTCTGAATCCTGTTACCCAGTCACAGAATATGAGTCCTATATAGCATGTCAAAGTCAGGTACTTTGTCATTCTAAGTTTCCAAGTTTCTGGGTGTCTGTAGAGGCTGCCTAGTGTTTAGAATAGCTTGGAGTGGAATAGCAAAACTAGATAATATCCAATTTACCAAGAACGTTTTAAAGAGCAGAAACTATCTAAGTTGGCATTCATCCCATTTTGAGAAAGGTTTGTCAAGATAGGTGGTGTTGTATTGCATTGCTGATTAATGGATATGCTGAGAAATTCATCACTTGCCTGTTCAGCTTCAACACCCTCCCAGACTGTTTAGCTCCTCTATCAAATGAGAAAGTACATCCAACTCAGTCTTCCTCTGGCCTGCCTCCCATCCTTCACATCCCTATCCTGAAAACCTCAGGTTAAGATTTGCTGGCATTTCCCCAAGGAGGAAATTGCTGGTGATTGCTATCTTCCCCAGGGTTTGGGAGATGACATGTTTTGCAGAAGGAACAGGAGGACCCAGATCTCTTAGAACAATATTATGTAGGCACCCAGGAAATTTGTGTGGAAGAAAGAAAGAAAGAAAATGAGAGAGACATGGTGAAAGAGAGACAAGAAAAGAAGGAGACACAAAAAGGAGGAAGGGAGACAACTAGGAAGGCCATACTGACTGCTGAAGAAAACTGCACAAGAGGAAAGAAGCAAGCATAGCCTGAGGAGAAGCTGTGCTGATATGGTGAGGGGTTAAAAAGCCTCAGGATCTCCTCTACAGGGCCACTTCCAGTTGACTTGGGCAAGCATTCCTCCTGTAGTTGTCTGCCTCCCCTTCCTCTCCCCTTCTTTGCAGATGTCTTTCTGGAAGATTTCCAGGAAGGAAGGAGATAGGCATCTCTGATTTGGGTTCTTCCTTCTAGGAGTCAGAGGAGCTGGCAGAGCCCACTGTGCATTGGTGCTGCAGCTTCCTCACCCCATTAGGCCTCCATCCCCGCAGCTGCAGTGGTTCTGGAGAAGGCCAATGTGGCAGAAGGGTGGGGATTGTACCTGCAGTGTCTTTGAAGGCTGGATTTCCTGAGGATTATAAGGGACAAGCAGGGAGCAATGGAGATGGGCCCCAGGATGTTCTCATGCAGCCCACTGGTTTGCCAGTGCCCCCATATTCCACAGAGAACCCATAATTGACTGAGATGCAAAAGAAGCCAGAAAGATGAGCCAAAAAAGTCCAATGAAGTGGGTATGTTAGAGTTGAGGGCAAAAGGAAGAGGTAGGCATTCCAAGGTTTATAAAGAGAGGGGAAGAAGAGAGAAGGTGTCAAAAGGCCCTTGAAGACTCTCACAAATGTGCTGCAGAGCAGATATTTATTTAAGGACTGCAGCACTGTCATGGAGGATGCAGAAACTGCAGAGATAGGGGCTGTTCCCATTCAAGATTCCCTTTTGATGGTTTATTCCATAGACCAGAAGTTGAATTCATTTTTTCTTTAGCTCCATGGTTCTGAGCCTCAGTTTTCTCATCTGTACAACAAAGGGTTTGGACTAGATATCTTAAATAAGATCTCTGTTTTACCTAACCTTCTGTAACTCAATCTATAAGCTAGCAAATCTGACACCAAATGAGTCTTACTACTTGATTCTGTCCATTCCTTTTTCTTTTCTGCCACCCATTTATCAATACAGAACAACACCAGTACCATTCATTGAACTAATGCCTACTCAATGATATAAGGAACATCAATTGGGACAAATGATTGGGTTGGTCTTTCTATTCTGAAGTAAGTGAAGGATCTGAGAAAGCAGTATGCTTTATACTGTGCACTTCCAAGGAGAGGCTGCTCTCAAATTTTAAATTTCCAGTGTCATCATGTAAATAAATTATAAATTCCTTGTGGGGTTGGGATTGTTGGACCGATGGAGATGCCTAAAGAAGCTGACACTGGCTCTTCTCACCTTATTTTATTTCATTTTTATCCAGCAATTGGACCCGATCTTCCATGCAACCCAGCACATACTGGCCAGCTTCTGCTTGCGAAATGGAATTCTGCCCAACTGCTATAGTGCAGCACTTTATGGGGTGCACTCATGAGGAAGCGATACAAAGATGCACCAGCATCCCCAAAAGGTAACACATGGGCCACACACACTCACACACACGTATCAGTTCAGTCACAGTGGGGGTAAAATAGGTTTTCATAGGAGTTTCATTGTACATTTGTCTCGAATCTCCTTTCATTTTTAAAAGATTAACATGTAGAAATAAAACTCCTCTGTCTCCAAGGGGGAAGTCACCTAGAGACAATATATACTTCGGGTTTTTGACATCCACCAGTGTTTCCATTCCATTTCAGTTCCCCAAATAAGGACAGGAGGCCAACTCCAGTAAGATGGGGCCCCTTCTCCCCTCCCCCGCCCCGCACCTCTCAAGGCACTGATGTGTGCAGAGCCTAGTCCTCCCTACCTCTTCGACCCTAAGGAACACCCTACCTCTTTGCCCCCTCTCTGCACATTGTCTTACAGCAATCTGATTTCCATATGGGGTTTGACCTTGTAAACAGCCTTGTACCACTTTCCGGACAAGGAGCAACCCATTTTAACTCAAAATCACAGAGCGACCTTTTCTCCTTTAAGGAAACACAACCCAAACATAAGGCGTCTGGGTATGTGCTTCTCAAGCCTGCATTCCGGAAGGCAAGGCGGAATGTAAAGGCAGGTAACCAGTTTGGGTCTGAAGTGAAGGTCCCCACTCAGCGATAATCCATCTCAGTTCTACCCAAAAATCCACGGTGCAGTAGAATAGCTTTCCTTTTCTTGTCCATTCACCATTGTGACAGGGGGGAGCTGGGGGGGGGGGGGGGAGGGAGAATCCCAGACGAAAAATGATCGTTTCTAAGGACTAATTTTATTTTACACCTATCTCCTTAGATTTTTTTTTTACACACTAACATCTCTCTGAACAAGGAAGCCCGATATCCACACCAGTCAGTCACTCAATCTTACTTAGCAAACACCTTTTGTTGCTCTTCCAATAGCGATTAAAAAAAAAACAAACACAAATGGTGCACCAACCCCACCGATGACAGGTTGGTACTTGACTGCAACCACTCAATAGTTCAGAAACTGGAAAACTTCACGATCGGTTAATCAGCTATTTAAATCTCTCTATGGAAATCCACCTATTTATAGACCTAAACTAAAAAAGCATCTCAATTTCACTTGTCTTACATCTAACTTAAGACAGTTCCCCTAACATGCTGCATATATAAACACCCCCCACTCCCCCGACCCCCATTATCCCCCAAAGCCCCCCACGGACTAATAGCCAGTAATTGTCCCCGTGCAGTTAGACATATCTATGCAAAGCAAGTGTGTGACAATAGCCAAAGCATCTCCCTGACAACTGGCTGCGCTACACATTCAGAAACGCAAGGAAGATTGTATTTTCCACTTACAGTTACAGCGCTGCGCACGGTCAGTTAACGAAAACGGTAAAGACTCAACAGTTCTTTTAAATAAATATATGTATGCCTATATTTAACTGGCAAACGGTTAAAACGTCTGTCTACGTGGTTCTCTAGCTCGCTCGCTCGCTCGCTCGCTCGCTCTTTTTTCTCGGAGCTCAGGGCTGCTTAAATCCCTCCTGGATCGCGCCCTGCCAGCCGAGCCGTCGCCGCAACACGCTCGGGTGAATCTCTGCTGCAGACTGGGAATCCCATAGAAAACCTAGGGTCCCTGGAGCTGGATGCGCAGGCGCACGAGCTTCCGCCTCCCAGGCACCCCCTCCCTGCTCCTCTCCTCCCGCCTCCCTGGGCTCTGCAGCCCAGCCTGGAGAACTGGGGAGCGGTGACCAAAAGCCGCCAGGCAATGGCGCATGCTCAGTTGGCGGGGGTGGGGTGTGTGCGGTGGGGGTGTCGTCGGAGTTTCCGCAGGTCGATTCCCAGGATCCAGATTTTATCAGACAGGCCAAAAGGAGAGTAGATTCGGGAATGGGGCCCGGCTGGTTCTCTAAGCCGGCCCTTGGACAGGCGTGAGGGGGCAGATGGGGTCAACCCTGCTTTGCAAGTTACCTAATCTGGAGGCTCAAAGGTGGAGGTCTGAGGTGGGACCGGTGGAGTCGGCTTCCCGCTTCCCTCCACCCTCTCCCGCCCTCCACTGGTGGTCAGGTTGCAAAGTGAAGAGGAAAAACTGCAGAAATCCGGGAAGAATGCCTACCTGGCTAGGGGCTCACCGGGAGAATGGTGGGGCTTTCATGCTCCACGGGCCCGGTCATCTGTGGGTCTCGGGCTAGATGGCATCTAGAGGACTAGATGCCAGCTCTACCAGCTCTGAAGGAGGTTTCTTTAACTCCACACCTTGGACAAGCCATATATATTGGCAAATAGAGGGTTGAGGGCTGGGCCTAGGAGATCCATGAAGCCCCTTCTTGTATCATCACTGAAGGAACACCTTGCCGGCCCTGCCCCGCCCCCCACTGGCCTGCCAAAGCCTAGAAGACTTGGCAAGGACTAGTGCCCAGCAAGTGCTGGTCTCTCTTCCCTACCTGGAAAGCCAGGGCAGGGCATGTCCCAGATGTCCCCAACCTGATCAATGCCGTTAGCACAAACCTTTCATAGGTTTTCATTCAAGTGAGGTGTGTGTGTGTGTGTGTGTGTGTGTGTGTGTGTGTGTGTGTGTGTGTGTGTGTGTCTGTCTGTCTGTCTGTCCTGGGGCTTAAAATCAGGGCATGGGCGCTGTCATTGAGCTTGTGTTCTCCAGGACAGTGTTTTACCATTTGAGCCACAGCTCCACTACTTCTTCTTCTTCTTCTTCTTCTTTTTTTTTTTTTGGTAGTTAATTGGAGATAAGAGTCTCACAGATTTTCCGGACTGAGCTGACTTCCAACCTTTATCCTCAGATCTCTGCCTATTCAGTAGCTAGGATTACAAATTTGAGTAGCTAGGATTACTGGTGTGAGTTAGATAGGATTACTTTTAAGAGAAGATAAATTCTGGGGGTTCCAAGAAGATGGAAGTTCTCCTCGAGCTTTACAGTTTGCCCAGTGTCTTCACACTACGTTCCAGAAACCTGCAGTTGACCTTTAGGGACTGTGGACACCCAGAGCGCCTCCTGCGGCAGCTGGATTGGAAATCCACAAGTCACCGCCCGGAGGCAGCAGCCCCAGGCTTCAACGCCTGAGTTCGGCTTTGAGCTCCCTTAAACTGCCTAAGTGGGGACCCAGAGAATCTGTGCCCAGCGAGTGTCTGGCACCAGAAGCGGCGGGGCTCAGGCGATGCCTAGTGGCGACGTTCAGTGCTATCCTTTTGGGACCTAGAGCTCAGGGACGCGCGTTCCCAGCCCAGATGCTCGGAAAAGCAGCACCGAGGGACAGCAAGGTTTGGGGACTCCCGGGACACCACCCTCGGCCGGCCCTGCTCTGCGGGGTTTCTTCCGCCGGGTGCTGGTGACCGTGGAAACCCGGAGTGCGGAGCCGCACGGACCAGGGCGCGCTGCGGCAGCCGGGCGCATTTGGAGACTGACCGGCACCGCAGTGCGCACTGCGCCGCGGGCAGCCCCGGGGCCAGGCGGCTCCTCTCCGTTTCCCGGATGCGGCGGGGCCCCAGTCAGTTCTGGCTAAGTCACCTTTGCTAGCCGGAGAGGCAGCCTTCAAGGCTGGCGAAGTGATTCCCGTCTTTTGTGGGTTTCATCCACTACTGCACTTTAAGCATGCCTCTCCGGTTTCTCCTTCTGCAACTCCCCTCAGCCCGCGGTCTGGCTGCCATTTCTCAGCTCCAGACATAATTAAGTGGCAATATTCAATTTGGATAACTTACTTTTCACACACACAAAAGCACACACGCGCGCACGCGCGTACACACATATATCAGGATACTTTAAATCGTACTCTGCTGCAGAGTACAATTTGATTTAGATGTGTGAGTTTGAGTTTTTGTAGAGCATTTACTAATGGGCAGGCAGCTGTGTGTGTATGTGTGTGTGTGTGTGTGTGTGTGTGTGTGTGTGTGTACGTCTGGTCCGTGTATGTATATATATGTGAATGTGCACATGTACATACAGGTGCAAACACACATAACTATCTAACAACACAAACACCTATCCCGTGTGCTGTGTCATTGTTTAGTATTCTCGATGTCACATCTTAATCTCCAATTATGGTGCAGCTTTGCCTCCTTAAACTCGAATAAGTTTTGCTATTTAAATCATTTTAAGGCTTTTTAGTTAACTTTTAAATGCAGCCAAGTCACAGTGGGGATACATCTGTAAGAGGCATCGAATGTTAGCATTCAGATTCCAGAAAGCCATTCCCCTCTTTAGGAGGAAAGGGGAACGTGCTGGAGCCACTAGATGGTGAAGGGAGCTCTCTGTTCCTTTTCTCCATTAGCCATTTGCAGAGATCACTGGGAGGGAGACTTGCTGCCCAGAATTCTGCGTGCACAGGAACTAGGATACGGCACCTTGGCTGAGTAAGAATGTCAACAGCTCTAGCAATTGTCTGATATGTAGAACCACCATATTCTTAACACAGAAAACTTCAGTGAGCTTTCCCACCCTGGGTATTAGGTGAAGGGGGGACGGGGGAGGTAGAGGAGGGAAGAAGGTACCACAGCCTGTGGGGTTGTACGGGGGAGGTAGAGGAGGGAAGAAGGTACCACAGCCTGTGGGGTTGTTGCTTTTATTGGAGTACTAGGTGGCCTGCTCTACTGAGCAGAAAAAAAAATTTTTTTCTTAATTTTTTTTTTTTTTTTGATCAAGCCCAGTATGTGGGCTTGATCTCAGGGCCAGAGTGCTGTTCCTGAGCCTGTTTGTTCAAGACTGGCACTCTATCACTTGAGCCACAGCTCCACTTCCAGCTTTTTGATTGTTAATTGGAGATAAGAGTCCCATGGACATTCATGCCTGGGTTGGCTTCCGATCCTGACCCTCAGATCTCAGCCTCTTGAGTAACTAGGGTTACAAGCATGAGCCACCAGCCCCTGTCATAATTATTTTTTGTACCGGATAGCAATAAATTATAATTGTGTATATTTTGAGATTAGAAGCTGGTGCTATTATATAATACATGTATATGTGTGTCCCTATATACGTATATATATGGAATGATGGACTCAAGGCAATTAACATATTTACCACCACAGATACCATTTCATTCTTTAAGTTTAAATGAAACATTGTATCTTTCATCAACAGCAAGTTATATTGTTTACAGCAGTTTCTAGAATTCCGTCTCACTCCAGGTACAAATAAACAAAATAAAAGCAAGGATAACTTTTAGGTACACACTCCATTACCTTTAATTTTGATGTGAGTAAGTAGAAAACTGAGAATGGGCATGAACATGGCAAAGACCAATTGTGGAAGAGGTCTGAGCTTCTGGCCCTGTGAACTCATGGTAATATTTTTTAAAAATATTTTGAATAAAATATATGAGCCAACAAGGGCAAGAGTTAAGGTATGAGAACAGTTAGGAAACTAGAAGAAAAGTTGTGCTTGAAATTCATTATTAGAAAATGAGGGTCAGAAATTTAGAAAATGGATTTATGCTCATTTAAAGGCATAAAGAATAGTTCTGGAAATTTTTTATAGAGGTAAAGTACCATTATTCTAAAGTCTGACTTTTAAAATATGATTTTTAAAATTGTTTTAAATACGATTTTTAAGTTTTAGATATGATTTTAGGTTGTTGAACATAGGCATTTCAATTCAGCATGTCACTTTATGAATAAATTGCATCATGATCAATATCACCTTTTCTGTTTTCCCATTGTACTCCCCCGTCTCTCTCAACCGTCACCACAAGTTACATGGTTCCTCTTAAAATCTAATTCTTATACAAGATGCATTATATAAGATATTTACGTTTTTCTTTTAAAAGCTATGTATGTTGACTAATAAAACAACCTCCCTGAAATTTCTTGGGAAATTCTTAAAAATGATATAATAGAATAAATTTTTACTGCGTTCTTTTGCCTGAAACAAAAAAAAAGCATTCACCATATTGATTATATTCCTTCTATATGTTTTTTCTACAGGAAGTGGAAAAGTGTGAGACTATGAAACAATGAGTTCCATGAAATCAGAAGAGTTCCATGAGTACGGAGAGGAGGTAAACTTCTAATTATAATAGGCCTTGTTGCTCATTTCGCTTAGTCCATCTTCATTTCTGTAACCTGTGACTAAGAGAGAGATCTAAATTCAGTCTGAAACTTGCTCTCTAGATCTGAGAATCACTTTTCTTTATAGTGAGCAATCAAACTTTCTTGACTTATTATCAAAATGCTGAGTTTCTTGGAAGTTTCTTAGAATCCCATACATGGGTATAGCAAACCAGGTAACCTAAGTACATAGGAGAATGGGTCAAAGGTCTATAAATTTGAGTACAGTTTATGCTACTTAAGGAGACCCTGCTTTAATACACACAAAGCCAGAAACAAATAAAACAAAGCAAACAGAAATGCAAAGAACGACAGAAAGAACAAAGAACAAAACAAACAAACCAAAACAAAGACAATGTTGTATTCTACGTTTGAGCATGAGTTTTTTTTTTTTAAGTTCATAAAATTTTTACCTTTCTTGTCAAAGGTGCTGCTGGCTAACACCTGTAATCGTAGTTACTCAAGAGGCTGAGATCTGAGGATAGCAGTCCAAAACCAGCCTGGGCAGAGAAGTCCATAAGACTTTTTTTTTTTTTTTTTTGTGAACATACTGTACAGAGGGGTTACAATTACATGGGCAGGATAATGCA